ATATATTTATTATTTTATTATATTGACCTTTCAGCCATGCCTGGATAACAATACAGAAGTTACAATGATGTGGCTCACGTGCACTTATGTTGCAGTATCAAATAACACAAAACTAACCTTTGGTCTGTATAATGTGACTTGTCTTGGGTGTGTTTTAGTAGACTAGTATTTTATAAAATACAGTCACATTTCAATTAATATATATATTTACTAGCAGAAAAAAGAATCTGTGCATCACTTAAAATATTAAAAAATCAAGAAAAATTGAACAAATATAATTTTAATTTTGCAGTATTGTTAACAGAAGCATTATTTACAAAGTTTCATAGTCAATTAATGTTAATGTCACCAAACATAATTTTTAGAGCATTTGAAAGACACTGGGCTAATACTGCGTGTGTCCACCATTTGCATCCACACATGCTTGACAACGGTGCATCATTGATGACACTAAATTGTTCAAAAAGGTCTGTGAAATGTTATTCCAGATGTAGGTTAATGCCGTACCCAGATCCACCAACGTTACTGGCTGATTTGGTAGGCGACATAAACACCTTTCCATTTCATCGATCTCGAACATTTCCTGCTTGTTGGAACAGTCACCATAAAAAGTGGATGGTGTTCCGATGGACACCGAAACATCTTGCAACAAAGTTCTGTGCCACACCACCCTGCACCATTCCGACTGCACGAAGACGTTCATCTTCACTGAGCCTTGGCATCACAGAAGGGTAATTGTCGGTGAACCAAAAATAATTTCCTGAATGACTGGAGCCTGAATAAACGTTTTACACCTGTTTATTCAGAAAACTTTCTCAAAGAAAAATCATGGGTACAAATTTTGAATTAAAAAAAAGGTGTTCACGAAACATGGAAAAATCCCATGTAACCAAGTCAACAACTACCCGATATGTTCAACGACACATCCTGTATTAATTTTTATGTCATAACACTAAACCTAATGTATATGAATTTTATTCCATTTTAAGTCCTGCACAGTTTCTTTTTTCCATTAGTATATATCGTTTTATATATACTCAGTGACTAAGATGTATTTTAGTCTAAAAAAATATGAAATTTTGAGCAGACTACAGACACACCCTACCTCTTGGAAATATTGGTTCAAAAGAAAGAAACGGGTCAAGTCCATTAAAATTGCTGAGAGAGCCACTAGGGGGACATTCTGAGCTTCCGATTGGTTATTCATGTCATATATAAGTAAGTGTATATAAGGAAGCTTTTCCAAAAATGGAAAGAGGTGGGCGAGGTGCCACTGTGTTTGATTTCTTACATGAGAAATAACTTGGCAAATTGAAAAGATAAGAGGCTCTTATTGTATATTTTAGCTTATCAATATTAGTAATTTGAGTTTCTAATTCATTCAAAACTATAGACTTAGTATTTTGACTTCCCAAACATCTAATTTGAATCAGTGTGGCATTCAACATACGACGTGACACACAAATATCTATGTTTATCTGTGTTTTTTTAATATTTGCTTTTAAATTAAGAAATTGAGTA